CCTTCTCCCTCTCTTTCTCCCGTGGCTCAACTCCGCGCCTTGAGGCCAAGTGCATTGAACATGAGATGGAATCCCAAACAAATAAACAATAAAAGTGCTTCACCTTAGCCTGGGGAGGGGGCGGGAATGGTGTGGAGGGGGTCAATGAGGGAAATAAAGGGGACATCTGTAACATTTTCAACAATAAAGATAAATTTAAAAAAATAATAACTTCACCTTTGTGTGGTGGGAACGGGGGCGGGGGCGGGGGCACTAGAGTTTTCTTTGTGCAAATCGGCTTGCACAGACACCTCTTACTGTGAAGGAGGTGGCAGTATGTTCATTTAACAGTGAGAGGACTTAGGCACCCAGACTGTTAGACAATTACTCACTAAACTATGGGTACAAGGCTGGCTGCATCAGAACAATTTTGGGGAGCTTGTTAGAAATGTAGCCTGGTCTCTGAGGGGTTCTGACTTAGGAACAGGGCTGGGGGTGTGATTTTAGATATTAGTTTTCTAACCAGGACTGTAGTTGATTCTGAGGTGTAGAAAAGATGCTTAAGTAAATGTACCTGCCTCCAATGTATCTGTTTACACCATATCTGTGGTGAAATGCATCTCTAAAGTATATGTTCTACTTGGGTCCATGATCTTCCTGAAATTGTATGGAAAGAGTTTGGACTCTGTAGGAGGCTGAATAATGTCCAACCAAATATATCAAGTCTTAATTCCCAGAACCTGTAAATGTTACCTTATCAAGTAAAAGAGTCTTGACGGATGTGATTAAGGATCTTGACTTGGGGAGATTATCCTGGATTATCTGAGTGCACTCGAAATCCAATCACAGGTGTCCTTATAAGAGGGAGGACAAGAGAGAGCCGACACACAGAAAAGGAGAAAGGGATGTGACAAAAGAGGCAGACATTGGAGTGATGTGGCCACAAGCGAAGAAATGCTGGCAGCCATCAGAAACCAGAATAGGTGAGGTACAAAGTATAACCCTGCCCACACCTTGAATTCAACCCAGAGGAACTGATATTGAACTTCTGGCCTCCAGAACTATGAAAGAATAAATTTATCATGTTTCTAGCCACCAACTTTGTGTGGTAATTTAGCACTGCAGCCACAGGAAACTAATACAGACTGTATTTTTCTGAATCAATAGCTTTGTAGAATTTAAAATGGGTCAGTGGCCTAGAAATGGTTAAAAACTACTTCCCTACAATGTTTCTTTATTAATATTTTCTTCCTTCAATTTCTATTTGAAGAAAGAGTGTGAGAAATGAAGCACAATTTGACTAGAACTCTGCCATGACATAGTTCTTCCATTTCCTGGTTCAAGGATAAGTTGCTAGGCAGTTCTTCTTTGAGCTGTTTTGTTTTGTTTTGTTTTATCCTCACCTGAGGATATTTTATACACTGATTTTTTTTTTTTTTTCCAGAGAGAGTGGAAGGAAGGGAGAGAAAGAGAGAGAGAGAAACAATGATGTGAGAGAGATACATCAATTGGTTGCCTCCCCCACGTGTCCCGACCAAGGCCTGAGATCGAACCTGCAACCCAGATACATGCCCTTAACCAGAAATTGAACCCATGACCCTTTGGTGCACTCACAGATGCTCTAACCACTAAACCAAACCTACTAGGTCTTCTTTGAGCTCTTGAAGGGGCTTCACCTGTGCTGGAGTTGGCATTACTGGTCCCAGAGAAGGAGGAACTCCATGAAAACAGCATGCAGAGCTGTCTGGAGTGAATGGGCTGTGAAGCCAGTGGCTCCATGTCTTAGTTGGGGCGGCCATGTCAAAGTGCCACAGACTGGGGAGCTTAAACAACAAGAATTACTTTTTTCACAGTTCCAGAGGCCAGAAGTCCAGTTAAAGGTGCCTACAGGATTGGTTTCTCCTGAGGCCTCTCTCCCTGGCTTGCAGATGGCCACCCTCTTGCTGCCTTTTCATTGGGTTGTTCCTCTGTGTGCCTACTCCTGATGTCTAAATGTCTTCTTCTTATGACTCCAGGAAGACTGAATTAAGACCCACCCTAATGGCCTCATTTTCACTTAGACACCCTTTAAAGGCCCTATCCCTAAATATAGTCACATTCACATTCTGAGGTAGTAGGAGTTAGGGCTTCCACATATGAACTTTGGAGGGACACAATTCAGCCCATAACACTCTATTTCCCCTTACTTCTGGTTCTGGGAAAGCATGTCTTCTTTCCCTCATGTGGAATGTGGCTAGGAGGTCCTTGTAGAGCTTTTGGGAGTCAGGGTGGTGGTGTTATGCACTGCACAAATGGACTGCCCAAGTGCAAAGTTGTTGCTGTAGCTTGTTCTTGACTGCTGATTCTTGGGGGCAAGTGAACAATCTGATGCCCTTCAGCCTGCCAAATACATCACCTCATCCTTTGTGCTTTATTTCCAACCCCAATAGTTAGGACTCCTTAGGGTAGACAATCCAAACTTGAAGATGAAGCACCTTCCACCTCAGGAAGGTTGGTGGAACCATGGGGTTGTGGTATAGGGTGGAGGGTGGTGGAAGTAGACAGAAGGCAGATTGGTCACCTTGTAGAGTCAGGGGTGATGCTGGTAGTAGCTTAGGGGTTGTCTTTAGTCTCTTCCCTCAGCTTGCCAGTGCTATGATATCTGACCCTGGCCTCTAAGCAGATCTTTGTTCCAATTTTGTATGGCTTTATCACCAAATCAGGTGACCTGCAGTTGTACCTGGTGGCATTAAAAAACCAAAGACTAGACCTTAGAGCTCTGACAAAAATGTTGAAAGGAAAAGGACTGTGTATCAGGTGCCTGGGTTGGGGCATTAGAACAAAGAGAGGGTCTCTCTATGCAGGGCTGGAAGGAGCATTTGCTAAGCTGGCTTCAGTTGGATATTGAGCATTCCTTATTTCTGGCCTCATGTGTCAGGGTGTTGGAGGACATTTCCAATTGCAAAGATTCAGGCACTGGTGGCTTTAAGGAGGCCACATTTTACTTTCCAATTGCAAAAGCATAAACCTTAAAAATCTAAAGTTTAGGAGCCAAAGCTTTCAGTTGAAACACAAATAGCTACCTTTGGTTGCCTTTCTCCTCTGGGCCAGGAATTTTCCATCTGTTACCTCTTTTAGGCATTTCTGGCAACCCTGATGACTTAAACATTGTTCTCCCACTGAAGGAACTGAGGGCATACAGGCACTTTACACTAGGGCTTTGGCTCATTGGAAGTCAGAACCCGGATGGGAATGCTTATGGAAGATTCTACCCACACTAAGTTGGGACTCCAAGAGCAGCATCTTTCATGAAAATAGTCAACAGGAGAGTGAAATAAAGATAGTTTTAGACAAACAAAACTAAGAAGGTTTGCTACCAACATACTGAACTAACGGAAATTCTAAAGAATGTACTTCAGGAGGAAAATGGTCTTAGATGAATAAAAAGCAAGGAAAGTAGTAATATGTGGACAATGTAAGTCGGCATTGATGGAAAAAAGAATCATAAAAATGTCTAGTCTGTTTTTAAAACATAAACTTAAAGTATTTTACAGTAAGAAAAGATATCAG